CTTCTCATAAAAGCGCTTATGAGAACTGATGCACTCCACAACATCTCTAACTAATAGTCTATAACCTGCATAGTGTTTTGGAATTACTCTCTCCAAGTCATTAATTACTAAGGACCCAAGAAACTCTGTTTACATATGTTTCTGCCAACAGTTAATCCATCTCCAGCTGGTGTGGATTTATGCCCTCAATTTACTAAACCATCATTTTTATGAATTTTCAGCATTCCTCTACCTCCATGGGTGCTAGAAGAAGTCAGCAAGAACCCTGACCTTGTTTACACAGACAAATCAGGTAGGAGGAATCCTGAGTACATATCCTTGGGATGTGATTCATTGCCTGTTCTCGGAGGAAGAACACCGATCCAGGTTTACACCGACTACATGAGAAGCTTCCATGACAGATTCAGAGATTACTTGGGCAATGTTATTGTGGTAAGCATCTGCAATAAACAAAAAGTCCATTTGATGCTATTGTTTTGGTAGCAGGCAATCAACAATTCAGAAAGCTAGACATAAACAGATCTCTGTTTGTGTTCCACCAAAAAAGAGAGAGAAAAAATCATCAAACAGAACAAAACTAATTTGGATAAGAATCCTTACTAATTCAATCAATATTTTCTCCCCAGTTAAAGTCATTTTAAAGTTTTCCAGCAACTTGTTTCAAAATTAGAAACTCAATTTCAGCTACTTCTGCAGGAAATTCAAGTGGGGATGGGTCCTTGTGGGGAGCTCAGATATCCAGCTTATCCAGAAAGCAATGGAACTTGGAGGTTTCCTGGAATAGGAGAATTCCAATGTTATGACAAGGTAATTCTTGGGAACAAAAGGCATTTATCCATTTTTGTTGACCCAGTAAAATGACCCTAAATAGAACCACATCATAATTTGATAAAATGTTTGGTATATTTTTCATTCCTGAACAAGCTTTTATGTGATGCAGTACATGAGAGCTTCCCTGGAAGCATCAGCAGAGGCACTGGGAAAGAGAGATTGGGGAAGAAGTGGACCCCACGATGCCGGCCAGTACAATCAGTTTCCCGAAGACACCGGATTTTTCAAAAGAGATGGAACTTGGAACACTGAGTATGGACAGTTTTTCATGGAATGGTACTCCGGAAAGCTACTCAGACACGGAGATAGAATACTGACAGCTGCGAAAGGAGTATTCCAAGGATCTGGAGCTAAACTATCTGGAAAAATTGCTGGGATTCACTGGCACTATGGATCAAGATCACACGCGGCGGAATTAACTGCTGGCTACTACAACACTAGACATAGAGACGGTTACCTACCAACAGCCAGAATGTTCAGTAAAAATGGGGTTGTATTAAACTTTACCTGCATGGAAATGAAAGACAGAGAACAGCCTGCACATGCAAATTGCTCACCAGAAGGGCTAGTGCGGCAGGTAAAAATGGCAACCAAGAGTGCTGGAATTGACCTTGCAGGGGAGAATGCATTGGAGAGGTATGATACTGGTGCATTTGAACAAGTTTTGGCAACAAGTAGATCAGATTCCGGCAATGCCTTAAGTGCATTTACATATCTACGGATGAACAAGAGATTGTTCGAAGGGGACAACTGGAGGAACATGGTTGAATTTGTGAGAGGCATGGCAGAAGGTGGCCGGAACAGAAGTCTGTCAGAATGTGACTCCACTGGGAGCAACCTCTTCGTTCGTTTCATCAAAGAGAAGAATGTCAAGAGAACAAAGGAAACTGTTCTTGTGTAGAGATTTTAGAAATTATTTATGTGCATCTTCATGTACAAACAGAGTATAGCTTAATTACTGTGATATAGGAGGAGAAAAGAGAGTTAAATACAGTGAGAGAGAGAAGTATAATTATATGCAAACACCATTATTGGCATCAGATGCTGATTATGTAAGATGGTTTTAAAAAAAATTCTTGCATATGTCTCCATACATGAATGGCCAGTTGTTCATTCAACCCAAGTATTATTAATTTAGTTTATGGGGATGTTTGGATGACTCTTTTAAATGGTTGTGAGTCCAGTGTGTTAAATAATAATATGCAGTTAAAGCCCTTTTGCTTCTGCATAAAAACATCCAAGAACTTTGAACATTCTCATCAGTTTCTCTGTTCTTTTCTTATAGCCTCAATATACCTATATTATTGGAAATAGAAGACTCAAACTAAAATGTTCTGATCCACAGAATGTTAGAAACAAAGGAACACATAAACTCAACAATAAAAGTTTATGTGCAAAAAATGGATGCACACATGGCTTTTGGAGTATAAAGCAAGTACAGCTCCTAGGGTTAGCAAATTTCGGCTGTGGTCTGGAGTTGGGTTGTTGCACTCTCAACCCCTTTTCTGTTTTTCCTCTTTTTTTTTTTTTTTTTTTTTTTTTTATATCTATTTGAGGACTAAGCTGCCTTACCTAACCGAGATTAGTATGCTACTATTTTTTGGACCTTTACCCCCATCTACCCCGAAAAGAATTATTGTAGCTGTGTATTATGCTTCACCTAGATAGTTCCATTTGGTTTTAACTAGCTAGAAACCTTCTCAACTATCTTGGCTAGAAGCATACTTAACACAGATATCACTGCTCCCTCTGCTCTTCACAACTCTCCATTTATTATTGCCTTGATCTAGGATTTCTGTAGGCTAAGAGGATTTGATTTAGAAAAAAAAACCACCGTTCGGATCAACATAATTAAAGAAAAATAGACATAATAGGAGCAATTAGGAGCATCTTTACTTTTAGAAATTAACTAAGAGAATCATGTTTATTTTTCTTTGTTTTTTTTCTAGTTCTAGAATTGAAATTAGGAGCATCGTTATAGAAAATTCTCAACTTCTCAACCCAATGCTGAATTCCTCCTACAATTCTAGATCAGCTGCTTGAGCCCAGTCTTTTCTGAGTTTTTTAGGTGTCCCTGGCTGGCGTAGTCTATATGGTAAACTCAGGTTCTTGCCACTACATGAAGGTTTTTCTATTTATGAAATTTTTATCAGATATTGGTTATCTTACTGAATTATATATTTGCATTCCTAACATACATGCCTCTTTAGCAAAACCAATAGAACAATATCTCTTCTAAGTGGAGAGGATAACTTTTTCCATGCATATTTTTAAATAATATTTTAACGGATAATCATTTTTCCAAATGTTTCTTCTTTTTCCCGCTTATCTGGTTACTAGGTTCTACTGTTTTTACCCAAATGAAAATGTAGCATAAATTTAAATTATTTGTAATTCTTTTCCAGCACTTTACAATATTAGCTCTCAACTATTGATAACACAGCTGAATCTAAATCAATGCTAACAAGCATGAGCTATAAATCGCATACCCCAACCACTTAGCCACTAAGTTTGCAGAGACACCACAACAGTATGGGGAAGCCAATTTCTCTTCCGAGATGCTGTAAGATGATTTTAGCTTTTCAGGAAACTAAAGAAAACACTGCACGGAAAATGCAAAGAACAATCTTCATTAGTTAATCATCATGATGGTGGACCAAAGCCAGATTAAAAAAGTAACCCTGCCTCATTAATTCAGAGAAAATCCAAGACCAATACCAAGTACATTATATAAATTCATTCAGATCTTTTTTAATAAGAAAAACAGCTTTCATTAATAAAAGAAAGAAGATTACAACACAAGGGGCAAGTCCCTTACAAGAAAATCTATGAAGAACCCGTCTAAAGACTAAAGGAACAAGAAACGGCACTCAAAACAGAAGAATCTAAGTTCATTCATAATTTTACGACTATCTCAGGATAGAAATCTGTATCTTAGAAGTCAGTCAGCATACAAAAGGTTTTGAAATATCATCTGAACTATACAGGACGGCACATTCCGCCCTCAAGGATAATGTTAGAAGAATGGAAAACACTGCCAAATATGGTGCAATGGAGTGCATTTAATGAAGGCGTCAGACATTGCTTTTCTCAGTTCCACGCTTTAAGGATCAAAGTGACTTCCTCACTGCCCACTTGATGCCATCAACCTTGACCCAAGCACCTGAATATGTCACAATCTAAATAAAACTTCCATAGTTCATAGTACATGAATCAAATTTAAATTTTAGTTTCAGACAACCATGAATTCATGTCCTAAAGATATTTTCTCCAATAGAGGGAAACCGTGGGAAAATTATATAAGAACAATAAAACATGAGCTTACACGTACACGTACTCCAAAAAGAGGGGACATGAGCATCTACCATCTAGGTTCAAACACTAATCTAATTAATCACGGTTGTCAAAGAGAAGGTACGGATATATCATCCCCTCAACCATGATTGTGGTAAGGAAATAAACTAAAGAACCAGTTCAAACTGCAAACTGATCTTTATCAGCTTTACGAAATATGGTTCCAATTCACGATCATCATGTAAATCATCAAATTTCACCAATAAGGGAAGAAGATGAAGCATGTCGATGGGTTTACAGCAGGTAACAATCTTGATGAGTAACCTATAGCTGATTTAAATTTGTGTTGCAGCACTGGAATTATACTAAAGTCCTTTAATTTTTTGTAAAGATTATACTGAAGTCCTTTTGTGTTGGCATTCCATCAGCATTGCTACAAACCAAACTGTTGGCATTATATCTTGACAGGAATATTATAAACATCCTTTATTTTGGGTTTCAGTCATCAAAAACGTTTGGTTTGTAAAAAGTGCAAAACAGGCAAAACAAAAACAGAGAACCTATAAACCCATTGGTCAAATAGGTTTTTCGTATCATATACTTTTAACTTCTTTTGTTTTTTTTTTCTTTCTTAATTTGGCATTCCATTCTCTCCCTCAATCCAAAATCAATCACAATTTTAAGGCACCAAATCAGAACACTGAAAAATTCATGACATTTTCCAAGATCAGTTACTAGTAATCATCACTCATTACTTCAAAGCTAAGGACATACAAATCAAACCCAACTCAGCATACCCAATTAAAATTGTTAATACCAAAACAACAACAAAAAAGAACTTATGGGAGTGAGCGAGTAAAAGTACCCCAGTGAATTCAAGCATGAGGTGGTGGTGGTGGATGATCGGAGTTGGGATTTTGACGGCGAAGATCGTCGATCAAGCTGCCGAGCTCTTTGCGAGCAGATTCTCTTCCGAACATGAACCCGTACCTGCGAAAAAGAAATTGGGCAATGGTTGAACGGATTGCAGGTACTGAAAAAAAGGAATGTGGGGAACCTGATTCCCGAGAATGTGACACAGAGTAAGGGAAAAAAGAAAACTGGAAAGTACCAGCCGGAAACCGCAGAGAAGACTGTTGCAGTGACAACTGTCTGAACCAAAGTGAAGGATTTCTCCATTTTCATGAATTGGGGTTTGGGAAACAAAAGACAGAACTAGTGATATTCGCGAGAGTGAGAGAAAAGCATTTGGGCCTTTTGGGTTTTAAAGGGTTTTGACGGAAAAAGCAAAAAATAAATAAAAATTTGTGGAACTTCGTGAAGTTTTTTATGTTTATTTTTTTGGGCCGAGTTTTTTATGTTTTTATAAAGACTTTGAGGTTTTGATCTTTAGGTTTAAAATTATTTTCACAAAAATTCATCCCTTAATTTTTCTACCTAAAGATTGATAATGATAATGCTAAACTCAGGGATTCGATTGCATGTAGGGGTGGAATTTGAATTGGTATATCAATGAACGGAACCAATATGAACCGAAAAAGTTGATTTTGGCTTCATCTAGTTCGATAACCAAATTAAGTATATAACGATGGCCTATATGAGAAATTTAAGCCATTTTTATTATGAAATTAAAATTCTAACTTCCTGTCAATGGGTTCCCACCACGGTGGTGGTGGATCCTCCTCCTCCCCTCCCATGGTACCCAAAGTCGAATCCCATTGGGGTTTTCTTTTCTCCATTTTTTTTTTTTGTTTTTTTTTTTTTTTTAACAGGCCCTAAGAGAGATGAGGAAAGTTTTTTTTTTTTTTTTTTCTTCCTCATCTTCATTACGGTATCAAGCCACCCTCATTTTCCTCAGAATCTCATCCATGTCTCCAACCCATCATCCATTATCTTTTTACTTGAATCTCTTTGAATTCATTGATGGAATAATGGATGGAAGGGAGTTTAGTTCTATTTTTGGCTTCTAGTGATGATAAGACAAGCCAAACAAGAAAAAGAAAATGTTGGATTAATGGATGGGAGGGAGTTGAGTTTTATTTTTGGACTTCAACTTTAAATTAGGAAATAGCTGGAAATTTGGTTTATACACGAAATTAAAGCTTCTTTTTCTTTTTTTCCCCAAGTATAAGGAAGTGTTGAAGTAATGAGATCATAAGAAAAACATAACATATGTGTTCAACAACATTAAATGAAACAAAGTTTATTCAATTAAAAGGAATTCACCATAACCTGTAGATGGCAACAATGGCATAAACCCATGTTTTTAGTAGCTAGCCGACACTTCTGAAAGTGATTCAACATCCCAATTCCCAACTGAATCATCTTCCACAAAATCAATCCCCTCAGAATTTTGCTGAGCACTAATCAAAGATTTTCTTGACATTTGTACAGCCTCTAGCCTTGATGTAACCTCTCTCATTGTAGGACGGTCTGTTCCGTTCATATTCAAGCATCTCCTTGCGAGGTTAGCGACTACTTGGATTTCTGTTTCAGAGCCCTCCTTCAGAACTCGAGCATCAACAATGTTAAACAGACGATCTTCTTGCATCGAGGTAATGAAATATGTGGCAAGACTTCTGTATTCTTTTTCTTGTGACCATGTTACTGCAGAAATTGGTTTTGACCCGTCAAGAGCTCAACTAGGACAACTCCAAAGCTATAGACGTCACTTTTCTCCGTAAATTGGCTTGATTGAAAGTACTGTGGGTCCAAGTAACCAAATGTTCCATGTACACATGTGGTTAGATGAGTTTGGTCAATGGAAATTGATCTTGAAGTTCCAAAATCAGCAAGTTTTGCTCTGTATTTTTCATCCAAAAGTATGTTGGCAGACTTGATGTCTCTGTGATAAATGGGAAAGGAAGCTGCACTGTGTAAGTACGAAAGAGCACCCCCAATTTCTGTGGCAATTTGCAACCGCATGTCCCATGTGAGTGGGAATTCCTCAATCTGCTCTTGGATATATTGAGAAAGAGTTCCATTCGGAATGAATTCGTAGACCAAAAGTGGAACTTCGGTCTCTAAACAACAACCAATAATTTGAACCACATTTCTGTGGTTGATTTGTGAAAGAATTACAACCTCATTGATGAATTCCGAGAGCATGCTTTTGTCCACCATTTTGGACTTCTTTACCGCAACAATTCTTCCATCCGTCAACATGCCTTTGTAAACGGTACCTTGACCTCCCTGACCAAGAATTCTATCAATACTAAAATTGTTGGTGGACTTTTCTAATTCTTTTGAATTGAATAACTTGATTTTTTCAACATTAACTTTGCCAGACAATAATTGTTGCTCTAACAATAAACCACCATTTCGTTTGAAAAACATTTTCTTGCGTGCAATGGTTTTCCTTTTCTTGACGATTTTGTGTACCCACCGTGCACCAATGAGTAGTAACAATAGCCCAACACCGGAGCCAAGACCTGCATCAATAGGTTTCTATATGAGCTTATTATTTGGCTAAATTGGAATTATATCCATTATCATTTCTAAACACGAAAATAATTGAATAATACATATATTATTCTTTTGAGAGATGTAAGAAGATAGGAGTACTATATACCTAAAATAATAGTTTTGATTTCAGAGGCCCGATGACCCGATGTGGTTCTGGAGTGGCATGTTGTAGTAACATTATCGTCACCATAGTCAGAATCAAAAGACAAACATTTATCGCCAGTTATATTTGAGTAGCATCTATAACCCCCAACAAAGTTCTCACATACATCGCCGTTACACCCATTACTGCCTTTGCATTCATCGATATCTGAAATGATGATGACTCGTGAATCGCATGTTCAAATTTCATCAAAAGGTGAAAAGATATATTATGCTAATTAAACTTTCAGGTATTAGAATAAACTCATTTCCAATGTTAGGAAACACTCATTGTATGTTGTACTTATTTTTTTTAACTTTTGATGCGTGACTTTTCATTACTCAACAGATAGATAACATATTTATACATAACAAAATAAAATAAATTGCAAAAAGTTTTTTAGGGAGACTTTTAGGAGCTCACAAAACAAACTAAGGCCATCTCCAGTCATATGGCTAAATGTAGTCTAGGGCTAAAAATTTAGCCCCCCAAAATATTAATTTTTTAAAGAATAGTGCAGGGCTAAAATTTTCCATCTTCAGCCATGCAATGCTATATTTTAGGGTCCTTCATATTTTATTGTTTTGAGAAAGGGAAGTGGGGAGTGCTTTAATGTTTGGTGGTTGAAAAACACATGGTGGGGCCCACTATGAATTTGGTCTAGGCCAAAGCTGGGCTACATTTGGCCTGGTTAGAGGGCTAAAGGGCCAATGTGGCCCTCCAAATTTGGCCAAAATTTTATTTAGCCCATGGTTGGAGATAGGTTTTGCATTATTTTAGAGCTATATTTGGGATATAGCCCATGGCTGGAGATGGCCTAATCCACTCATCCATGCATTAAAGTAAGCCCCCAAACGAACTAATCCACTCATCCAAACATGCTCCTAACTTTCTAGTAGAACACTTACATAAGAAATCAAGGATTAACATAAAAAACCGAAGAAGAGATTAAATTTGCGTATGATTAAAGCACCTTCAGATAACCAACTCTTTTGCAAGCATTTGGTAAAAAAAAGTTTCTAGAAAGCTAACAAAAACGAGCAAGTGAGCTTTCTGCAGAAACATTTCCATATATACAAGGCAGTCTCTTAGTTTCTTTCCAAGGGTAAATACCTTTACATTTTTATAGTAGACCACCGAGATTAGAAATCAAGGATCAATCTAAATCCAGAAAGAAGAGATTCAGTTTGCGTACCTTGACAAGGTTGGAGAAGATAAGGATTTCCTTCCATGCCTGGCCGACAGACACAAGTTATCGTGTTCCAATCATCATAGCTGTTGCAAAAGGGTGTTGAGGGGTTACCACTCTGGTCTGTTTTTCCTCTGAATCTTTCACCATAGTCATGTACTTCTAAGATCCAGTCTAGCACCACAGGAACGCTGTCCATATCCTTCACTTCTCGAAAATTCAATAAGCTATCAAACCAATTTGTCTCAACCAAAAATGCATACTTGCAATCGTCCGTTGGATATGATGTTGATGAATTTGATAGTATCTCAATAGTAAAACCTCTGGTGCGTTCATATGTTACAAGAGTATCTTGGCAACAGCCGCCCATACGTTCATAGCAGTTGCGAAAGTCGCCCCCTGTAGTGTTTTGACAAATAGACCGGCAACCAGTGACAGTCCCACGATCTGAGGTCATAGTGGCAGAGAGGCCACAACTCACTGCAATGAATATGTTCTCTGTGTGAGAGTAAAGGAAAGGACTGCCCGTCAAATTCTGGGGTTGACGAGTTTCCTTTCCCTCGCAGCTGAAGAATATAGGGTTCTTAACCTGAACCGATTGCCTGCCGGAAAAATACTTAGCAGCTCCAGGTTGAGGCTCTTGAGGAAAGGCGCCTGCTTGCTGTAATTAGCTGAGCTTGTAGTGAGGAAAGGCGCCTGCCTGCTGTAATTAGTTGAGGTTGTATAGTTGTTGTGCCTGCAGTCTATTTGAAACCATTCATCTAAGTAACAATCTTTGTGAGGTCCAATCCCGAAAGGGTATGGGATGGCAACATCTCCACAATGCGTTGTGCAATTAGGCTTTGCTATAGGCGCTGATGCTGCACTAGTTGTTGCAGCTCCATGGCAACAACTTAGTATTACTGTGCGCCATAACAACAGAATAACGGATATGATATTCATTATTTATCAAACTGATTTGCAGAGTTTGATTTTTGCAGTCCAAATTGATGTATATCAAACATTATATAGCTCCCAAAAAAGGAACATGGATTGATTTAAGTAGGTTACATTTCGTTGATTTGTGCACACATGAATTTGCGTGGAAATTATAGTGTACGTTGTTTATAGCTAGCCATGTTTGACTCATGCTATATAGAGAATTGGTCTACAAAATATAAAATTATTATGAGCAAAGCATCATTTTTCTGTATTAAACATGTTATGGGCTTGTTTAGTCATAATATGGATATGTTGCCTAACTTGGAAGATGAATGGGGACTATCTATAAGAGGTTGATGACTAAAACTTATCCCTTTACAAATGGTCATTGACTATCTACAAAATATAAAATTATAAGTAAATTATTATTTTTTGTATGTAGACTTCACTTATAGCACGAGTCAATGGAGAAAGGACTTGGAAAACTAGGAAACCAAATTGAAATAAAGTTTCACCACTTTCAGGGCCTTATTATACCAAGTCCATTATTTTGCTTCTTCCCTGTTTCTTAAGTTTCCTATCTGATGTCTAGTAGTTAATGAAGTAATATCATTTTTATCGCCTTGGGAAAGCCTTTCACACTAAAAAATGTTGAAAAACTTGAATGGCTAGAGCGGATCTGCTCCCCAATCGAGTTCGAATTCCCCTCCGTGTAGTTTATATTATATTAAAGTAGATTATCGCTTGTGTAAAAAAAATATATACGTTGGACTAGAAATAATTAAAGAAAAGCAGAGAAGGTTCAAAGTTTTTAGGATATTCAAAGGAAGACTTGATTAAAAAGGACAATACAGGGTGGCTTGATGGTGAAAGGCGAGCTATGCTATCCATAGCATGATTTGTAATCGTCGTTCTGTTCATAGTCAAAAGTTCAAATTAGAGCTATAAAATATAAGCGAAACATTCAAAAATCAAAAGAAAAACAAAGCCAAATGATTGACTAATAGTTAATGAACAATCTATTAGCCAATCGACTTGAAACTAGATTCAAGAAAAGCAATTTCATTATTATCTGTGGTTGGAAAAAAGAATTCAAGGAAATATTTTGACACATTCATAATCCTACACCGACTACTTAAGGGTTAACTGCAACCCTAAATGATAATTCTCAAGTCAAGTCTTAAACTCCTCTTCTTTTTATTTTTTATTTTTATTTTTGGACAAAATTCTTAATCTTCTCTGAGTAGGATAAAACTAAAATAAAAAATTAAGGTGCGGAGATGGTTCTTGTCACCTTCCTGCAGCTGCTTCAGGAATTAATGCTCATCCTTGATCCATGACTTTCGTAAGTCAATTGCACTCAACTGTACACATTATTAAATTTTATCAACTGTTTTTAGAAGAAAACAATAGAATGGAAAGGAATAATATTATAGAGAGAATTAAAAAATATTGGGAATATGCAATTCATTTATGAAAGCAGCGAATGAGGAGATAGAGATCTCTTATCAGCATGGCCAGATCAAGCAAGGGAAAATAAAAGAAGAGATCTCTTATTGCAATATGCAAGGTATGACTGGTGATAAAGTGAAAGAGACGAAGTCAAGATACTTGATTAGTGCATATAATAGTATGCTTAATATAATTTTGATAATGTTTATCAAAATATCTTAATTATTAAAAATGAAGAAAAAAATTGTATTCAAGAATTCAACCAAACAAGTTTTCAAATTTTAAAGATTCAAAAACAGTTTTCAAGTTGCATACCAAACAACTTTTGAATCTTAAAAAATGGATTTGAAAACTCCTTGATTTTAAGAAAAATAACAGTTTTTGAGTTCCCTACTTGGATAGAATATCAAACAGACCCTAAGCTGCGGCTGCTTCTTCTTTTTTCACCCAAGTACAAGAAAGCGTTGAACTAACGAGATCATAAGAAAAACTTAACTTATGTGTACAACAACATGAAATGAAACAAAGCTTATTTTTTTTGGTCTGAGAAACAAAGCTTATTTAATTAAAAGAAATTCACCATAACTTGAAGATGGCAACAATGGCATAAACCCATGTTTTTAGTAGCTAGCCGACACTTCTGAAAGTGATTCGACATCCCAATGCTCAACTGAATCATCTTCCCCAAAATCAACCCCGTCAGAATTTTGCTGAGCACTAATGGAAGGTTTTCTTGACATTTGTACAGCCTCTAGTTCTGATGTAACCTCTCTCATTGGAGGACGATTTCTTCCGTTCAAATTCAAGCATCTCCTTGCAAGGTTAGCGACTACCTGGATTTCTGTTTCAGACCCCTCCTTCAAAACTCGAGCATCAACAATGTTAAACAGACGATCTTCTTGCATCGAGGTAATGAAATATGTGGCAAGACTTCTGTATTCTTCTTCTTGTGACCATGTTACTGCAGAAATTGGTTTTTGCCCCGTCAAGAGCTCAACAAGGACCACTCCAAAGCTATAGACGTCACTTTTCTCCGTAAATTGGCTTGATTGAAAGTACTGTGGGTCCAAGTAACCAAATGTTCCATGTACACATGTGGTTAGATGAGTTTGGTCAATGGAAATTGATCTTGAAGTTCCAAAATCAGCAATTTTTGCTCTGTATTTTTCATCCAAAAGTATGTTGGCAGACTTGATGTCTCTGTGATAAATGGAAAGGAAGCTGCACTGTGTAAGTACGAAAGAGCACCCAATTTCTGTGGCAATTTGCAACCGCATGTCCCATGTGAGTGGGAATTCCTCAATCTGCTCTTGGATATATTGAGAAAGAGTTCCATTCGGTATGAATTCGTAGACCAAAAGTGGAACTTCGGTCTCTAAACACAACCCATAATTTGAACCACATTTCTGTGGTTGATTTGTGAAAGAATTACAACCTCATTGATGAATTCTGAGAGCTTGCTTTTGTCCACCATTTTGGACTTCTTTACTGCAACAATTCTTCCATCCGCCAAACATGCCTTTGTAAACGGTACCTTGACCTCCCTGACCAAGAATTCTATCAATATTAAAATTGTTGGTGGCCTTTTCTAATTCTTTTGAATTGAATAACTTGATTTTGTCAAGATTAACTTCGCCAGACAATAACTGTTGCTCTAACAATAAACCACCATTTCGTTTGAAAAACATTTTCTTGCGTGCAATGGTTTTCTTTTCTTCACGATTTTGTGTACCCCCATGCACCCAATGAGTAGAAACAATAGCCAAACCGGAGCCAAGACCTGCATCAATAGGTTTCCATATGAGCTTATTATTTGGCTAAATTGGAATTATATCCATTATCTTTCTAAACACGAAAATAATTGAATAAACCCTTGTCGAAGCCGAAAACATTTTGAACAATATTGTAACAAAAAAAAACTTTTGAATAATATTACCATGGTGGAAGATACATATATTATTATTTTGAGAGATGTTGAGAAGATAGAGTACTACATACCTAAAATATAGTTTGAGAGGCCTGATCCGGTGTGTGTATGAAAGTGGGCACGTAGTGTCGGTATTATGAGATGAAGGTTCGAAGCAAAATGCGTACATATCCGGATCCGGCCATTATATTTGAGTAGCAGCTATAACCCCCAGTCACATACTCGCCTCCACGCCTTTGCATTCATCAATATCTGAAATGATGATATGCTTCAATCCAAACTCACACATATAAGAATCGCATATGTTCAAATTTCATCACAAGGTGAAAAAGATAATTAATACTAATTAAAATTTCCTGTACAAGAATAAACTCAATTCCAATGCTAGTTATATATGTTGTACTTATTTTTTTAAATTTTTGATGTGTGACTTTACGTTCTTCAATAGAGGTATAACAGATCAGTAATCTAGATAAAATTTATGTGCGGAACAGAAGTTTGAAACTAACAAGTAATTTCACAATTTCGACCAAAGAAAGGTAATTTCACAATTTTGACCAAAAAAAGGTAATTTCACAATTAATGGTTGAACTTGGAAAGATAGACTTCAAGAAACATTTTAGTCTATGAAGCCTTGTGTATATATGACCAGCCAAGGCCACCCGATTGGAACATGGACTTGTTCAGTCTTGGCAGAAAGCTGGGTACCTGGCTAATAAGAGGGCAGGATTTGTCTAATGACATGTTTTAATCCCAATGGCTTGGGCAACATCCAAATCATATTCATTAAAGTAATCCCCCAGACGAGCTGATCCGCTCATCAAACCTGCTCTTACCTTTCTAGTAGAACACTTACATTAGAAATCAGCATTAACATAAAAAAAACGAAGGGGTATAAATATAAAAGAATAGATTAAGTTTCGCATGATTAACGCACTTTCAGATAACCACAATCTCTTTTGAAAAACATTTTGTAAACGAAGTTTCTAAGAAGCACTTTAATTTTTTGCCAAAATTTTTTATGTGCATCTAAACAAAAGGGGTTTCAATAAAGCTTTCTACGTAATCATTTCAATTCGGCCCTCTCTTTAGTTTTCTTTCCAAGAGTAAATACCTTTACTTAGATTAGAAATCAAGGATCAATCTAAATCCAGAAAGAAGAGATTCAGTTTGCGTACCTTGACAAGGTTGGAGAAGATAAGGATTTCCTTCCATGCCCAGCTTACAGCGACAAATCATGCTGGTCCGATTGTACAAAGAAGTCAAGTCACATTATTTCTTCTGCAAATGGGTGTTGAGTAGTTACCAGTCAGGTCTGGTTTTTCTCTGAATCTTTCACCATAGTCATTGCGTTTAAGATTCCAGTCTAGCACCACAGGAACGTTGTCCATAGGCTTGACGGTCCCAAAAATTCGGGTAACTTCAAACAGAAACCAATCTTTGTCAACCAAAATGCATACTTGCATCGCCCATTGGATCTTGATGTTGAATGATGTGATTGTTGTCTCAACACTAGCAGTGCGAGCGACGTCCCATGCTGTTAGACGCGCACCTCCTGCCACGGCCAATCCCGTCCACCCAAACGCCTGGTTGCCGTCTTTCCTGCCTTTCGAGCCGCGCATCCGCGACAGGTCCATGCTCTGCGATCATCGGGCGAGGTCGCCTTGCAACTCCTGCGTTGGCTGTCGCGCGTACCTGCACGGCAATAAAAAAAAAAAAAAAAAAAAAAAAAAAAAAAAAAAAAAAAAAAAAAAAAAAAAAAAAAAAAAAAAAAAAAAAAAAAAAAAAAAAAAAAAAAAAAAAAAAAAAAAAAAAAAAAAAAAAAAAAAAAAAAAAAAAAAAAAAAAAAAAAAAAAAAAAAAAAAAAAAAAAAAAAAAAAAAAAAAAAAAAAAAAAAAAAAAAAAAAAAAAAAAAAAAAAAAAAAAAAAAAAAAAAAAAAAAAAAAAAAAAAAAAAAAAAAAAAAAAAAAAAAAAAAAAAAAAAAAAAAAAAAAAAAAAAAAAAAAAAAAAAAAAAAAAAAAAAAAAAAAAAAAAAAAAAAAAAAAAAAAAAAAAAAAAAAAAAAAAAAAAAAAAAAAAAAAAAAAAAAAAAAAAAAATCTAGTTGAATGAATTATATGCAAAGATTGACGTGATACCCAGCAGCAGACATCAACGAACTTGGGTATCATATTCAACTAGACAGTGGGATGCACATCAATCGACAAGTGTATCCAAACCCGCAGTCCGGGCAAATCGCAATGCTGGAGAATTTGCGGAATTGAATTGCATACTGATATATTTAAAGATGTTACTTCTAGGGAAATAAACAACCGGTCACTGTCGGAAAAGCGACCGGGATCCCCACAGCTTGAACTGAAGAATGGTGCTCTCTGTGAAGAAACAACATGTCGCCTGGGGAGAAGCGACTAGTCCCACAGCCTGGCATGGATGAAATTGCTCTAATGTGAAGAAGCCACCAGTAGTGTCACATCCCCGGACGCCTTCGCCGCCACGATTTTTTGTTTACTTTGGCCTCCCTCTCGTGCCCTCACAGTTTTGTTTCTGGGAACCATGAGCCCTTCTCAGTGGGTCACCCATCCCTGGATTGGCTCTAGCCCCAACCTCGCGTTAATTCGGAAATTCCCATGACTCCCGAGGCATCCGGCTAGATGAAGGCGAGTATGTAACATATCTCACATCACCCCCCTCCCGTTCCCTTGGTCCTGTGGGATTTACAAGTAGCGCTGGAGAAAGCGACCGATTGCCATACCTACAAAATGTGATAGTGACCTTTGTGCATCCGTGTGCAGTTGTTCGATGAAGCCCCCCCCTCTCCCCTGCCTTGCTTCCAATCACGTATTGATAGTGAGATATCTTCTGATGATCTATCTATGCCAGCATGATTTGTGTTGCCCATGAATCAACCTTAGAAGGGGTGGAAATAGGTTATTGATAGACTGAATTTACACACGGATAATAAATTACATGCACAATAATAAACAAATTGGGAAAGAGATATTTCAAACTTAGAGATTATTACTGGTTGCAGCCACCTAACCTACATCCAGTCCTCAAGCACACACCACTTGACAGATGTCGATCCACGTTAAAAACTCCTTGCAAATTGTAGTTGAAACCTTTACATATTGTCAAGTCACCACTCCTTACAGCTGAGCACAACACCTAAGATACAAGAGGCAGACAACCCTAATCTACCAAAACTCACAGGGTCAAACCAATACTCTTGGGTTTTTTTACAACGTAAAAATAGAAAGAAAAATAAACCACAATCTTTTCTGTTTTTTTTTGTGTATTGGTTTTTATCAACATCAACAATTCCTATTCTATTTGGGCATAGGGGATTGTTGTTAGTAATATTTTATGCGTTTTTTCACACCCCTTTTTTATGAAGGGAGTATATTTAGAGAATAAATAGATAGAGAACAGTAAAGAAAATTTATTTTGAACAATAGATGTCTTTCACATCCAACCGAAGAACCTATTATAATTTTAATGGCAGTTCCAAAAAAACGCACCTCTATTTCAAAAAAACGGATTCGTAAAAATATTTGGAAAAGGAAGGATATCGGGCAGCATTGAAAGCTTTTTCGTTAGCGAAATCTCTTTCTACCGGGAGTTCTAAAAGTTTTTTTTTGTGTAACAAATAAATAATAGTAATCAAACAATACAATAAAAAATCTGAATCGGTCTAATTATAAAAGTAATCTAATTTTGTTTCTAATTTTTTTATAAGATTTATAAGTTATAAGAATTTTAATTAACATCATAATAGTAAAATAATATAAATTTATATTTATATAAAATAATAAATAAAAATAATTAGTTTCATAATGTTTTAATTTAGAAGGCGTCTTTTTTCTTTCATTTCTGATATAGATAAGAATTCTGTTGTCTACTTAATTCAAAAATTAATGGTACTTTTTGTTTGAAAAAAGGATAAATGCAAGCACAAGGGTTCACCTTTCATTTTAGTATATTTTATAATTTTCAGGATGGGGATTCTCACTTTCCCCATCGACTTGACTCAATAATAAAAATAAATTTCTTTTTAATATATATTATAATTATATATTAATATTATATTATATATTAAAAGAAGGGTTCGTTGAAACTAATTGATTTAGTTTTAAATATGTTTTTATAATCTTCTAAATCATTATTTTTCTAAATTATTATCACTATATAAACTCTTTAACCCAATTTAATTAATAAAATCCCCTTTTACATTTTTAGGTAGTTATATGACGAATGTGCCAATTTTGAGTGATCTGTTTTAGATCCTATGGTTCGATTGGAAGATCGATCAAAATATAATATATATCAAAGATATAATATATATTAATTTAAAAATTTATAAAGTATTTTTTGAAGTACGGTACAATTTCGATAGAAATATAAATATTGTTATATAATTGATACACCCATACTAATACCTAACTTAATCGGGTTGCTAAATCTTAACACAAATTCTCTACACAACGAAAAACCCTAAAAATTTCATATAAAACTAACTATGCAAATATTTACAAAAACCCCTTGAGTGTATCGCTGAAATTGTGTTATATAAAAATTATATTTTATCGATAAAATTCTTTTTTTATTTTAGATTAATAAATGATAAAATAAATGAATCATTAAAAAATGCAAACGAGACAGAACATTGTTTTTAGTTCTATCTATGGATTGAAGTCAAAATAATCTAGTTCCAACCGTAACATTTTTGTTTTAGGAAAACATAAAGTAATAACTTACGAAAAACTACATTTTTAGTTCAGTTAAATAAAATTGACATTCTAAAATAATAAATAAAAAGATAATAAATAAAATAAAAAGATAATAAATATTATTAACGAAAACGTTTAAATCCCTAATTCTTAAACAAGTTTTTATTCATCAATTTAATGGTTTCCTAAAAAAATATTGCATTTAATTAACTCCTTCAATCTCGACGATTGAATAAAAATAGGTTATTATGATTTCGAATAAGCCGCTATGGTGAAATAGGTAGACACGCTGCTCTTAGGAAGCAGTGCTAGAGCATCTCGGTTCGAGTCCGAGTGGCGGCATGGCATCTTCTAAAAGAGTAAGCCCTATAATGAATTCAATTCCCGATTTCAATTCCTATAATTGCGGGACCCCCTTTTAATAATTTTTATGATATTTTCAACTTTAGAGCATATATTAACTCATATATCCTTTTCTATCGTTTCAATTGTAATTACAATTCATTTGATAACTTTATTAGTCGATGAAATCGTAGGACTATATGATTCGTCAGAAAAGGGGATGATAGTTACTTTTTTCTGCATAACAGGATTATTAGTTACTCGTTGGGTGTATTTGGGGCATTTACCATTAAGCGATTTATATGAATCATTAATTTTTCTTTCGTGGAGTTTTTCCATTATTCATATGATTCCGTATTTTAAAAAACATAAAACCCATTTAAGTGCAATAACCGCGCCAAGTGCTATTTTTACTCAAGGTTTTGCTACTTCGGGTCTTTTAACTGAAATGCATCAATCCGAAATATATTACCCGCGCTCCAATCCCATTGGTTAATGATGCATGTAAGTATGATGGTATTGAGCTATGCAGCTCTTTGTGTGGATCATTATTATCATTAGCTCTTCTAGTCATTACATTTCGAAAATTCAGAAGGATTTTAGTAAAGGCAATAATTTAGTATTAGTAAATGAGTCATTTTACTTTGGTGAGATTCAACACGTGAACGAAAGAAACAATGTCTTACGAAACACTTCTATTTCGTCTCAAAATTATTACAGGTATCAATTGATTCAACAATTGGATCGGTGGAGTTATCGTATTATTAGTCTAGGGTTTATCTTTTTAACCGTAGGTATTCTTTCGGGAGCAGTATGGGCTAATGAAGCATGGGGATCATATTGGAACTGGGATCCAAAGGAGACTTGGGCATTTATTACTTGGACCGTATTCGCGATTTATTTACATATTAGAACAAATAAAATTTTGAAAGTATAAATTCTGCAATTGTGGCCTCAATGGGCTTTCTTATAATTTGGATATGCTATTTTGGGGTTAATCTATTAGGAATAGGGTTGCATAGTTATGGTTCATTTACATCTAATTGAATTAAATAAAGGACTTGACTGACTTGACGAATAGAAACATAGGATGGCATACGTGTATATATACGAAAACTTCATGTAAACCATTAAGAACCATTTGAATCATTCCATTTCCATTACTTGATTCAAATGGTTCTCAGAAATGCCAGACATTTCCGGTTATAATATAATTCCAATTTTTTTATTTAACTTCAAATTTAACTTAAAAGAAAAAAAGGACTTATTTTTATTGTACAATGAACGATTTTAAAAATCATGGGATTTCCGTTTAATCCTTTGGTTTACTCATGAAAACTATCTATAAAAATAATTGGATATAATAGCTTCGACCTTGTCAACTGATAATGAGAAAACGAAATCGGGATAAACACCAATACCTATTACAGGTAAAAGGATCGAGATCGAAACAAATAATTCTCGCGGTCCAGAATCAAAAAAATAAGAGTTTGGGGCATTAAAAAGCTTGTATCCATAGAACATCTGGCGTAACATAGATAATGAATAAATAGGAGTTAATATCATTCC